CAGGGTTTTATGTCTTTGTGCATATGTATGTAACAGGCAAAAGGAATCGAGATAGACCCATAGTTCCTTTTGAGAATATGCATAGAGTCACATTCTGAGTCAATTTATGCATGTCTGTCCGTCCGTCCGTCTGTCTGTCCATGTTAAATTGTAAACAAAGTACAGGTCACATTTATGATCCGATTTGGATGGAATTTGGCCCAAGGACGAGCCGTACTGAAATTGGGAAAAATCGGTTCAGATTTAGATATAGCTCACATATAAATTTTCGTCTGATTTTATGTAAATGGTGCACCAAAGTCTCTATATATCTTTCGATTTGCATGAAATTTGGCTCGAACCACTGAATTAAGTCTTTAATAATGTGTGTTAAGTTTCGTGAAAATCGGTTCAGATTTGGATATAGCTCCCATATATAATTGCGTCCGATATAAGGTAAATGGTGCACCAAGGTCCCTATATTTGCCCTTCAATTTGCCCGAAATTTGGTATAGCACACTAAATTAAGTCTAGACTGATGTGTTCTAAGTTTCGTGAAAATCGGTTCAGATTTAAATATAGCTCCCATATATATTTTCGTCCCATTTTATGTAAATGATGCACCAAAGTCCCTTTATATCCTTAAATTTGCACGAAATTTGGCACAGTGTATTGAATTAAGCCTAAAATAATGTGTTCTAAGTTTCGTAAAAATCGGTTGAGATTTTTATATATCTCCCATATATATTTTCGTGGGATTTAAGGTAAATGATGCACCGAAGTCCCTATATATCTTTTGATTTGCTCGAAATTTGGCACAGCTTACTGAATTAAGTCTAGAATGATGTGTTCTAAGTTTCGTGAAAATCGGTTCAGATTTATATATAGCTCCCATATATATTTTCGTCCGATTTAATAGAAATGGTGCACCAAAGTCCCTATATATCTTTCGATATGAATGAAATTTGGCATGCCCTACTGATCTTAGTCTAGAATGATGTGTTCTAAGTTTCGTGAAAATCGGTTCAGATTTCGATATAACTCCCATATATGATGTGTTCTAAGTTTCGTGAAAATCGGTTCAGATTTCGATATAGCTCCCATATATATTTTCGTCCGATTTTGAGTAAATAGTGCACCAAAGTCCCTTTATATCCCTCGATTTGCACGAAATTTGGCACAGTGTACTGAATTGAGTCTAGAATAATGTGTTCTAAGTTTCGTGAGACTTTACTACTTTCTTTACTGGTTTTCTTTGGAAAAATGCTCAAGTCACTGACGTCGGATTTTTTTTATAAAAAAAACCATTTTTCCTGAGGATTATATTTTTCTTAGAGAAAAAGTTCTCAGGTCTCTTGAGGATTAGTTTTTCTATAGAAAAAAACTCTGGTCCCTTAGGATTATTTTTTCCCGATAGAAAAAATCCTCACTTCCCTGAGGATTACTTTTTTCTATAGAAAAATATTCAACATGTTCCCTATTACTTATGTATTATGTATTACTTTTTCCGATAGAAATAATCCTCAGGTCCCTGAGGATTACTTTTTTTCTATAGAAAAAAAATCCTCAGGTCTCTGAGAATTACGCTTTTCTATAGGAAAAATTCCTCAGGTTCCAGTAGGATTACTTTTTCTATAGAAAAAAATTCCTCAGCATCCTGAGAATTTTTTTCTTTAGAAAAAATTTCTCAATATATAGAAAAAAATTCTCAAGTCCCCGAGGATTACTTTTTATATAGAAAAAAATTCCTCAGGTCCCCTGAGGATTACTTTTTTCTATAGAAAAAAATTCCTCAGGTCCCCTGAGGACGACTTTTTTCTATAGAAAAAAATCATCAGGTCCACTGGGGATTAATTTTTTCTATAGAAAAAAATCATCAGGTCCCCTGAGGATTACTTTTTTCTATAAAAAAAAAAAAATCATCAGGTCCCCTGAGGATTACTTTTTTCTATAGAAAAAATTCATCAATTCCCTTATGATTTTTTTCCCCGATAGAAAAAATCCTCAGCTCCCTGATGATTACTTTTTTTCTATAGAAAAAAAATTCATCTCTCTAAGGATTACTTTCTCAGGCCTTAAAGCCATCTTCTTTCCATTTAAACATTCGCTGTTTCTGTCATATAGGAAAATTGTTTTTCGGCCCAAAAATTTGTTTTTTTGGTCTTATTGTTATCCGCAAATGCCCCCTTCCTCCTCATTTCCCCCTCAGTAGTTGACATTTCCTCATTTGTAACATCAAAAGTAAACATCCGAATGGGTTTTATTGTTCCGTTTAATGTTTTTTGTTATTGTTTTTGTTCTATGGCCTGACAAAGCCATGCTCTAAATCTCGTATACAATACGCCAAAGAATATGGCCAAAAGGGAGAGAGAGAGGGTGAAATCATAAAACAAACAAGTTCAGTTTAAAAAGAACAACCACCCACCCTTTGATGATGAGTCGGACTACGTGTGTTTGGTGTGCCCAAAACTGAATTCACTGAAGTTCAGTGAATGATTTAGGCGGCGGTGGTGCACCAATTTCGTTTTGGTGGATCTGTCTGTTCTATTGTCATTCGCAGGGTCGGTTGGTTCGCTTAGTTGGTTGATGGTCGGTAGCTACGGCGTTCATTAACTTTGTACTACTTTTGGGTTAATAAACTTTCACACACCGAGAGAGAGAGAGACGCAACACACACACTCACCTGCTTACTCATGGTCTGGCTGACGGTGTGACAGACTGACTGACACATGATGAAGCACTTCTTGTCTCATTTTTTTTTTTTTTTTTTTGTGTAAAAATTACCAATGAACGAATTACAGAAACAGAATAAAATTTTCATTCATTGTTACCGCCGACACTACCACACGATCCGACCACCACCTATAATGAAGAGATGGAAGACAATGCGAAGCGACACACCGCCTTGTGGTACGTCAAACGTAACACGTTAAATGAGATTGAAAAACAAAAAAACATGGCTTTAAATTGTTGCCGTAGTTTTCCCGTCAAACAGCTGTGTGACAGTTTCATTTTTCTACGACAACGGATTGACTGTTCGGCTGACTAACTGACTGTTCGGCTGACTGACTGACTGACGAAGAGCACCTCCGAAGTAGCACGGTATAAGTTTCAAGATGTGGAAACAAATGAATTTGTAGGTTTTCTTTCTTTTTTTTAATGGTTTCAGTGTGTCACAAAAAAAAAATACGCCGAGGTAGCGGCAACAGAAGCGGCAGCGACACCTCTACCACAAACCAGAAGTTTGTCAACACGAAAAAAAATAAAAACAACAACAATTAAAACCAAAAATAAAGTTATTGTAATATTTAGCGCAAACTCAAGTACCTACCTACCAAGTATGCGGAGAGGAGGGGCACAGTGTTGGGAAAAATCTCAGGAGGAAAAAAATTCTCATAGTAAAAAATCGAACCTAAGTTCATAAAGACCTCAATTCCGAGGATTTTTTTCTATAGAAAAAAATCAGACCTCCGTTTCTTAGAATTGTTTTCTATAGAAATAATCTGAACCTGATCCCATTTCTATAGAAAAGAAATTCCTCATGTCCCTGAGTACTACTTTTTTATATAGAAAAAACATTTTTCAGGTCTCTGAGGACTACTTTTTCCTATAGAAAAAAATTCCTCAGGTCCCTGAGGACTACTTTTCCAATAGAAAAAAAATTCCTCAGGTCCCTGAGGACGAATTTTTTCTATAAAAAAAGTCCTCAGGTCCCTGAGGACGACTTTTTTCTATAGAAATAAATTCCTCAATCCCCCTGAGGATTACTTTTATCTATAGAAAAAAAATTCCTCAGGTCCCTGAGGATTACTTTTATCTATAAAAAAAAAAAATTCCTCAGGTCCCTGAGGACGACTTTTTTCTATAGAAATAAATTCCTCAATCCCCCTGAGGATTACTTTTATCTATAGAAAAAAAATTCCTCAGGTCCCTGAGGATTACTTTTTTCTATAGAAAAAAATTCCTCAGGTCCCCTGAGGATTACTTTTTTCTATAGAAAAAAATTCCTCAGGTCCCCTGAGGATTACTTTTTTCTATAGAAAAAAATTCCTCAGGTCCCCTGAGGATTACTTTTTTCTATAGAAAAAAATTCCTCAGGTCCCCTGAGGATTACTTTTTTCTATAGAAAAAAATTCCTCAGGTCCCCTGAGGATTACTTTTTTCTATAGAAAAAAATTCCTCAGGTCCCCTGAGGATTACTTTTTTCTATAGAAAAAAATTCCTCAGGTCCCCTGAGGATTACTTTTTTCTACAGAAAAAATTCCTCGGGTCCCCTGAAGACTACTTTTTTCTATAGAAAAAAAATCCTCATGTCCCTGAGCACTACCTTATTCTATAGAAAAAAATTCCTCAGATCCACTAAGGATTACTTTTTTCTATAGAAAAAAAATCCTCAGGTCCACTGAGGATTACTTTTTTCTACAGAAAAAAATTCATCACGACCCCTGAGGATTACTTTTGTCTATAGAAAAAAATTCCTCACGTCCCTGAGGATTACTTTTTTCTATAGAAAAAAAATTCCTCAGGTCCCTGAGGATTACTTTTTTTCTATAGATAAAAAAATCCTCAGGACCCTGAGGAGTACTTTTTTTCAATAAAAACATTTCTCTGGTCCCTGAGGACTACTTTTTTATTGAAAAAAATCTTCATCTCTGTAAAGACTATTTTTTAATAGAAAAAAAAAATCCTCCTGCAAAAAAAAAAAATCTCAGTCCCTTAATGCCTTATTTTCTGTTTGGAAAAAATTCCTCAGGTTCCTGATGACTACTTTTTCTATAGAAAAAAATGATCAGGTCCCTGAGGACTTCTTTTGCTATTGAAAAAAATCAGACCCCAGGTCCCCATGGTTTTTGGAGGCTTTGAAATGTTTAAATTCCTTGTTGTTGCTTTTGTATTTGGTTCGTATTTCTTGGAGTTAATATCCTAACTTCGTAATCTCTTAAAAAAATAGCTGTAATAAAAAATTTTAATTTTCAAAACAAACCGAAAAATATCCAAATAATCTGAATAAAATCCAAATATGTTTTGTACGAAAAACAATGGTGACTACGATCAGAATAACCTGTGATGGTGTATTCATACAATCCAATTCGTTTTTAACCTCAACTGTGTCATCGCCATCAACTGCTGCTGCATCATCGTCATCTTCAAATCTATTAACAACCTCATCTACAACAACCACACCATCATCTTTGGAAGATACAACAACATCATCGGCATTTCCATCAACCACCACCAATTCGTCCAGTGATAGTCGCACCATAACACCTGAACAGGAAGAGGAGGAGCAGGAGAATAGCTTTAATTCCACAAGCAGTTCGTCATCATCATCATCGCCAAACAGCCTAACCCTAACCACCAATGGCAGTGCCAAAGATCGTTCCGAATCAAGTAATTTCAATTACAACGAAGTGCGAACGGCAGAGGTATCACAATTAAGGGAAAAAGATAACCAAAGATCATCCTCCAATTCTCCCACGGGCTCTATTGTTTCCACCCTAAATTCTCGAAATTTGTCGGGAAGTCCAAGTAATCGCAGTTCGAAACGACCTCGGACCCCTAAAAATGATAATCGTCGGCGGTATTATTTTGGCAGCAACAAGGTCTACTGGTGTAAACAATCCCTGCTAAACGGAGGCATACCCGCTTCGCCAATATCCCTACATAACGTTGGCTTACGAAGGGGAGGAAACGAATCGAAGTTATCCTCGCGAGTAAATCTAACACGTAGTGCCAGTTCGGTTACCGATAAAGAATTACAACAACAAAAGAAATATAACAGCCAGCAAGAAGGTCATGGTGGAGAATCGCGTTCTCCTCGACGTGCCGCCCATAAACTTCTAACAGCCTCGAATAGCCTGAACTCTTCACCGCTTTGTTCGCACACAAATCAAAAATTTAATCTCAAGGATTTCTATACCTTCTCTTCGAGTAAATTGAAAGCCTCCCCCAACTCACCTGGGGTTATATTAGCACCTCCAACAACAAATATCTCCTCCACCCACAACAAAAATTACAATAATCGCAAATCTTCACCCAAAACCATATCGGGTGGCACCTCAATATTCCTGGTCAATGGTGGTGGCAGTTCAGGTGGTGGTGTTGGTGGCGCTTTCAGTATTAGCTCCTCAGCCTATAAAAATTCAACGGCCACACCGGGTGATTCGACACGACTTTTAAGTTTTCTTCGCTCCGCAAGGAAGCTATATCGCAACAGTATTCGTCTGAATCATCAACATTCGCATCAGAATCAGTCCAATTCTCAGCATCCAGCGTCCACTAACAATAAATCTAATGAAACCGAAAACCAAAGAGATGAAGTCGATTCGATCGCAGCTGGCGTAAATTCATCCAATAATGTTCCTACCTATCGGGATAAATTAAGGCAGAGTTATTTATTCGGCCTTAAAAATTTCTACAACCAACCAAATGACAACAACAATAGTGGCAACAACAACTACAGCGGCAGCAGTAAAGAAAATCCTACAGTATTAAGTGAGGAGTGGTTCGGTTAGTATTTTTGATTTTTCTTTTCTTTTCATTTTCAAAATTTTGTAAATATATTTTTAAGGACCTATTTATTTGAAGAAATTTTCTCCTCAGGGTCCTGACGAATTTTTTCTATAGAAAAAGTAATCCTAAGGGACCTGACAAATTTTTTTCTATAGAAAAAAGTAATCCTCAGGGGACCTGATGATTTTTTTTTCTATTGAAAAAACCCTTAGGGACCTGACGATTTTTCGCCTACATAAAAAACGTAATCTTCAGGGACATGACGAATTTTTTTCTTCACGGGCCTGACGAATTTTTCGCTACATGTCCCTGATCTCCAAACCCGAAGAATTTTCCTAGATTAGGAATCCAATTTCCTGAACAAAAAAAATTTTGTGTTGAAGAAAATCAATCACGTTTTTTCTCTGCGAGAAGGAGTCTACGGATTTTGTTATCAGAACTGAATTTCAGATACAGCCCCAAGTAAATCTTAAAAAAAGACCCAACCATTTATTATATGAATATAAACCGATCCTGTAGAACGTTTCTTTCCAAATGAAATGTAGCCGAAGCCCCTGATACTCTTATAACTAATGCATCAAAGCATGAATATAACATAAAATTGGAATATCTTGGGGATAGCGCCACCCAGAGGAAAATGGCAACACAAAATAAGCAAGGACATCAATCACTTAAAAAAGTCAAGAAGGCTTTGTTTTTAGGCAATGATAGATGGCAGCAACATTCCTTGCGGAAGTCATATGCTAACAAAAGGAGTAAAAGGAGAAACAATTATAGAAACACATCGGTGTGGATGGATATTTTGCAAGACTCTAAACCGATGGGGGGCTTTTTTAGAAGAGGGACTAACATTCACCTCCAGATGAAATGCATTCGAAACTACCTGGAATTTGTATAACCAAAATTGTCATCAAAACATGAGCAAATCACAAAATAGGTATGTCGGGAAAATATCGCCACCCAGAGGAAAATGGCTACACGAAATTATTAAAGACACAAAGTACTGGGAAATTTCAATGAGACATTGTTTCCAGGCAAAGATAGATGGCAGCCACCCTCACATAGAACAAGCTTCTGTGGCAATGGACTAAACACATTGGAGTGGATGGATAGTGTGTCAGACTATAAACCGATAGGTTTTGGGTTTGAATGTCAGCGGAGAAGTAAACATTTTTTTTTTCAAAGTGATTTTCGAACATTTCAAAATTTCTAATAACAAACGCCACCAAGAGGTAAATTGCAACATTAAATAAGCAAGGACCCCAACCACAGCACAAAAATCCAATTAGGTGTTATTTGTAGGCCCCAACAGATGGCAGCACCATCATCTAGGACAGGCTACACCAGATTCGGATTGGCTGTAATTCTGTATTATTGGATGTCATTGGGTAGAAAATCTTCCTACTAAAAATTACCCCAACCACAGCACAAAAATCCACGAAGGTGTTGTTTGTATTCAACAATAGATGGCAGCACCATCATCTAGGACAGGCTACAGCAGATTCGAATTGGCTGTAATTCTGTACTATTAGTTGTCACTGGGTAGAAAATCTCCCTCAATATTGGCCCAATCTTCAGAATAACCACCATATAATGACGCCCTACCATTTTTCGATAGTTTGAGGACTTTGGGCACGTTTATCAAACGAAATGGCTTTAATTTAGGTATTTTATGTTATCATTTGAAAAATCCCACCAATCTTCCTACCAAAAATCTCCCGAAATTCAGTATTTTGGTTATATTTTTCAAACGAATTGTGGGCTGTCATTTGGCATTTTGTGTTCTCATTGTAAATATCAGTAAAAGGTTCAGTTTTCGGTATAGACCCCATACAATGGCACTTCCCAATATTCCTCATTTTGGGGAGTTTTGGGCACGTTATTCAACCAAATTGATTGTAATTTGGAATGTTAGGTTCTCATTGTGTAGAATTAGCCCACATTTCAGTGTAGACTCCACATAACGATATTCTTTATTTTAGGTATTTTGGTCCCGTTTTTAGTGTTGTTCCATTACACCATATAGCATTAGATATCTCCCGAATTTTGGTATTTTGTGGGAGGGGGGTTTTCAACTAAATTGGTTGTAATTTTATATTTGGGATTCTATCCTTAACAAAAGTATAGATCCACGTTTTGGTATGGTCCAGATCTTCTTTATAGGTACCTTTGATGGTCCTAGGCGCATATTCCAACCGAAGTGAATATATATTTATATTAAGAAACAATATCCTAATGATTTGAGAAAGGTTTTTTTCTTGAAGGAGTGAAAACTTTATTTGAATTTTTCAAGATTTCGGGAAAATATACTTTAAATAAAAAACATTAATGAGATCATAAACATAATTTTTTCTCAACACAAAATTCCTCACAAACTAAATTTTAAGTTTTTTTTTTAATTGTAAAAATTCCATAATGTACTGGGGAATGATAATTGGTATTGGTATCATTGACATTTTTTTGCTATGTCGTCTTATATTGTTGTTACACATGTTACATATTTGTACTATGCAAATATCGCAATTAATTCATTAATTAAAGAACGTGCTTGCGAAGTCATTAAACTATCGTACAAAAATTAGCAGTGACATTAAAAGTTTTCGACATCAACACATGAGCATAACACAATATAGAAATGTCTGGAGATAACGCCACCCAGAGGAAAATGCCAACACTAAATTATCATGTTGTTTCTAGGTAACGATAGGTGGCAGCGTCATAATCTAGGACAGGCTGCATCACCGATAATGGATATGCTTTGTTAAAGATGTATTATCCCAAGAGGAGTAACAGGTGAACAAAAGTTGTGTGGCTAGGAAGTGGGACCTTTGTATGGGCTTATTTAAACACATCGGAATGGATGAATAGTGTGTCAGACAACAAATCGATTGAATTTCAGGGTTTCAATCCCAGAGGAGAAGAAATTCTGCCGTTTTCAAGTTGTCAAAAAAAGATTTTTATATCATCCTTCAAATGAAATTCATCCGAAATCCCCCTGACATTCGAATAATCAATCTCGGCATCGTCACAATAGGCATGTCGGGAGATAGCGACAACCAGTGGAATTTGGCAAGGACCACAACCACTGTATAAACATTCAGGCATGCGTTGTTTTTAGGCAACGATAAAATGGCAACCCATTCATCAGGACTACAAATCGATGGAAACTTAGGGTTTCATTCCCAGAGGAGAAGAAATTCTGCGGTTTTCAAAAAAAAACTTTTACTTTTAAGTGATTATTTATACTCTTTCGAGTCGAGCTTGATGATCTGAATTTTGCAATGAAAAGGAAAGCCAGGAGAAGAACCTACGTACCCACCAGTATGCGACGCGTTTCGCCGTTGGTTAAGCGGCTCATCAGGCATATTGGGCTATGTGGCTTTACAAAGATCGTACGTTGATAACTTGTATTTATTCCGCCCTGATGCGAAACTTGCATATGCGAATTAAATTCAAATTTGTCAAAGTTCGACATTTGTCTTCATTCTAGGAACAGTCCTTTTCAAAGCAGATTTTTGTTGTAGCGATGGATAATTAATCCACACACCTACAATTGCTTCCATGGTATACACATGTTTTTGCGCAACCGTTTTGGAAGTGTGTTGATAGCTCAGAACGTTAAGTGGTTTGGCAACATTTGTGTTGCTCGGAGGACCTAGGTTCGAGCCCTAGCCGTGCTCGGCTGAAATTAATTTTTGTTATTTGAATTTCTGTGATCATTTGAAAGTGATTTTAAGTGATTATTTATACTCTTTCGAGTCGTGCTTGATGATCTAAATTTTGCAATGAAAAGGAAATCCATTGCAAAATTTAGATCATCAAGCTCGACTCGAAAGAGTATAAATAATCACTTAAAATCACTTTCAAATGATCACAAAAATTCAAATAACAAAAAAAACTTTTCAGATAAAATTCATCCGAAATCCCCCTACCATTCTAATAAGCAATCTCCGCATAGTCACAATATTCATATCGGGAGATAGCGATACCTAGAAGAATTTGGCAAGGACCACAACCACAGTATAAACATTGAAAAAGGCGTTGTTTCTAGGCAACGATAGATGGCAGCCCCTATTTTGGATCATTATCAATATTGGCCCAAGTTTCAGGGTAGCCACCATACAATGGCAATCTCCCATTATTCCGTATTTTAAGGATTTTGGGGACGTAATTAGGTGTTTTAGGATTTTTTTAGTTTTTTTTTACGAACTCGAAATATTGGCATTCCAATGATTACATTTTCCCGAATTTTAAGAAGAAATTATATTTGAATTTTTTGTTTTCGTTTTTTTTTTACATTTTACCATCTATCATGTGCGTGTGACTAATCGCCAAACTTAAATTTAAATTTCACACTGCAAACAAAAATTTTTGTACGATAGTGTAATGACTTTGCCGAGCACGTTCTTTATTTAATTCATTAAATAATTGAGATATTTACATATTCAAAATTATATATGTCACATGTGTAACCGAATTATAAAACGACATAGCGAAAGAATGCCAATGATAATACCAAATATCATTCCTCAGAGTATATTATGGAATTTTCCAATGAAAGCAAAAAATCCAAACCCATGGGAGTGAGGAATTTTTTCTTAACACAAAAGGTATCATCATGCCCTGAGGATTTGTTCTATTTACAAATATATAATATTGATAAAATGGAAATACTTTAATGAAAAAATATTTTCAATTAATTATAGAAAGGTTTGAATATCGTCGTTATGTTCGTCCGAAATTGATCACCTAAAATTGATCAGAAATTTTTTTATAGGTATATTGGACTATTCGGAGGTATATATTTTTAAAAATATTTTTTTCAAAGAATAACAAAGGCGTAGATTTTCTAAAAATAGTTTTTCAAAGTCCTGGATATTTCAACAATATTTTTTCAAGGGCTATCCTAAGGCGTAGATTTTTATACCCTACACAACTATGTTGTCAGGGTATTATAGCTTTGTGCAGCACCACGAATTTGTAACACCGCCAAATAT